AAAATTGCCTTTTTAGCTAACTTTTTTAGTGGTATAAAAAAAATTCAAAATTTTGAGGAGCTTTTCAAATTTTTCAGGGGACTTAGTGACGGTACTGGCCATTTGCAAAGATACAACCTACATTTTAATTACAATGATTTTAACGATCAATATTTCATGTATTTATGAAATTTTTTTTATTTAAATCGCATATAAATATAAATGAGATATAACATTTTTCAAAAAGATATAATATAAAAATAATGAATTATTCTTTAAAAATTCATATTTTAATGAATGTCGAAATTAAATATATATTAAACAATTTTTAAAGAAAATAAAGTAACAAAGAAATTTCCGATGGATGAAGCATTTTTAGAAAATTTGATTAATTATATATTTTTTTATATAACAAAAATAGCGGTTTAATTTATCAGAATATGAATATTTATTTTATAATATAAAATGACATAAATTTAAAATTCGTGTAATTTTTAGCGAAAATAAGTATGTATCATTTCCATATGTATAAACATTTATTTATATATTTTTTGTTTTTACTAATAACTGCATTCTGAAATTTTCTTAAACCTTTAACAATCATTATATAATGTAAATTAAGTTGAATCTGAATTATAATATATAATATCGTGAGTAATTAATTAATATTATTTTTTTTACTATTTTTTAATTTACATAATGTTAATATCTCTGACTTTTTTTTTAACTATTTTTTATTCCTGATCACTCTATTATTATATAGAATAAGATGTGGCTTTGAATCAAAATGTTTATTATTTTTTAATAATATTTAGGTTTTTAATTAACAATCAAGCCCTTTTAAGTAAACCATGCGAGAATTTTTGAAACCAAACAAATCTCAAGTCTCTGCATTGCACATTTTTCAAATGAATCGTTTTATACAACATCTACAATTTATCTTATTTCATTTATAAATAAAATAAATGTGTTTTGACAGGATTTTTAAATTCTTCCATTAACAAAATATTTACAAGCTAAATCTAAATGGCCTGTATAAGTTTGCGCTTTCAATGGAAGAAATAAGTTTCTTTTAATCCAAAACCTTTATTAATTGTATTGCAATTCTATATTAAAATAACAATTAATTGACATATATGTTACCGGTAATGTGTTTATTCCAGCAATTTGAATTATTTTTTAAGCCCGTTTTTCGCATGCATAGAAAAATCTTATAAATTCCAGACAATTTTACTTTTAACCTTTGAGTCATTTATAATTTATATAAAAAAATCTATGGAAAAACGAATATAAATTATAGTAAGTTATAAAAGTTAATGACAATATCTGGAATTCAAGTTTTTAATTAATAATAAAAGGTAAGTAGATCCATGCAAGGGCATTTTTTAATCAGCATATGATATATCAGGAATTAAGATCTCTTAGTAATTTGCAAATATAAATTAAACTCATATTATGAGATATAAAAACATTTATTTCATCATTTTGAGAGAAAAGTTAAATTTAAAAATAAATGTGATAAATAAACTAGTTAAAAATATAATAATTTTAGCTCAATAATCTTTCTTTTCATTATATAAAACATAATTTATTGTTTTTAAGAAACTTTTATGTCTTCATGAATTATGTGGGGTTATTTTTAATTTTTCTTCTAATTTTTAATTTATCCATTCTTCCAAAAAAAATTAATTTTTCATGAATTTCAAATTTTATCATTTTATATTATAGGATATATATTTATACTCTGTTATAAATTAAACAGCTATTTTTATTATATAAAAAATATACAAATTAAATTTTTAAAAATGTTCTATCTTATGGAAATTTTCTTGTTACCCTACTTTCTTATTAAAATTTATTATTAAAAATTGTTTAATATATAATTAATTTTTTACATTCATTTCTATATAAATTTTTTAAAAAATAGTTAATTATCTTTATATTATTAAAATTTTACATCTTCCAATTTATATTTATATGCGATTTATATAAAATAAAAAAAAATTCTTAAATACAAATATTTCACCTTAATCATTATAAACATAGACTTATTAAAATGAAAGTTGTATCTCTGCAAATGGCGATTTTTTTTAACCGTCGACAGCGTCTACATGACAGGATTTTCACTGGATGCAAACCCCCTTCAAAAACCTTTGCCTACCCCCCTAAAAATTATCATTATTTTCACCTATTTATTTATTGATACTCTTGTCAAAAAATTTATAAAGGATAACTTAAATTAATCTATCTCTACTACCAACTATCGATATTTTGTGAATATAAAGAATTTATTTTTTTAGATAATAAATTCAATTAAAACCTCCATTTTTACAATGAATTAATTATTATGGCATTATGAGCTTGCTAAAATATCTAAACCTTTTAAATTACATTTAAAAGGATAGTTTATTTGGAAAACAATGTATATGATTGTTTGCAATATATAGATTTGGTCGATGAATTGTATTATAAAAATACTATAATAAAAGTATTAATTTTTACAGCAATAAATTTTGTCCTATTTCATCTCAAAATTTAATAGATAACCCCCCAAAAAATTTATCCTACCCTTAGAGCAGCTTACCCCCTACCCCCTCAAAAAAATAGGATGCAAACTGTTCCTAATCCTCCCGCTCATGTAGACGTGACCGTCGATAGTCTAGTCTATGATTGTATCAGACAATGTGTTAATTTAAATAAAAATAATTGTTAATTTCTTTTTATATATATCGAAACAAGATTAAAGTCAAAATTTTATATAAGTTCTTCTTTTGGGATCTATCTAGCGCAAATAAAGGAATTATACAATAAAATAATTGTAATTGTGAGCTTATAAATAATAAATTATATTTTTATTCAAATGTTTTAATTATGTATTTTCTTAAAAATCAAATATTAATTAAACTTGAGATCTATCCTACGAACTGGGCCCGTTCCAACCCTATTCATAAGATAATTTATAGGAGATATTTCCTATTTTTACCTTCGGGCCAGGTTGTGAAGATCTCTAAATTAAACATCAATTTCTATTCATGATAATTCATTTTTTCTTAAAAAAGGCTATATAACTCTAAAAAATAATAGGTAAAGAACCGAAACAGGAATATTTAAAATTGGAAAAATATTTGAATAAAAATAAGCACGACGAAATAAAGATGAGTTACATTATTGCGAAGCAAGTTCCAGAGTTATCATCGAATCTCACAAGTTTGAACAATAATAGGAGGCAAAACAGCTCCCAAAAAATCTCAGAGTATGTCTATAAAATTTTGCGGCGCGAAGAAACAGCTAAGAGCCTAATTAAAAAAAATAGAAGGTTGAGGAAAGTGTTGGAAAAATTAGACAGTTTTTTGAAGTTTTTGTTGAATAGTGTAAAAGAAATCGAGATGAAGATCAATAAAATATCAATGAGAATTGAATTTTTAAAACGACTATCTAAGATGGAAAGAAATAAGGATGCTAGAATAGAAAAGCTCAAGCGACTTTATAGACTTAAACATGCTCAAAATCTCAAGAGTTATAAATTAATGATGGAGTCAAGATTGAAAACCTCAACTAAAACCGTTATTACGCCTGTATCAAAAATTGATAATACCATTGTAACGAACACAGATAAAAGAAAAGTACCTCCTTTGAGGATGATGATATCACACTCTAATGGATCTAACGTTATTGGGATGTCCAATCAAACACTCGAAATAAATTTACCTCAAGGATTTCAGGGGGTTAAAATAAAAAAGCTTATAGTGTCTCGAAAATATTCAAATCATTCCAGAATGATTAAATAAATGATTGGCAACAACAATATTAGTTTAGGTGTAATAAATTTTAAGTATAAGATGTTTTTTTTAATATATTGACAAATAAATTTAATTAAAAAAAATCCTTCAATTGAAAATCAGAATCATATTTATGTTTTAAGATAGCTTAAATAATAATTTAAGAAGAATGTCAAAAAATGTTTCCCCTATAAAATTTTTTTATATTTAACTAGCTTATGAATAAATATACCTTAGGAACTCTTAAAGCACATTTATAAATCATTATGTTTATGCTGTAGTATTGATCGAAAATCTATTTCTAGGCGATTTTTAAAAAACAGCTGTCAAGATTTTATCCAAAAAGTTGGTGCATAGTATATTATCATTTGCAAATACTATTGTCACGGATCTCTGATAATTATTGATAGAATGAGAATTTAACATCCAATCGATGGGAAAACCCCCATTCCAATATCGTTCATGTTGTATGCACTAGTACCTTGGGACTTCTGTTTTTCATGTTCAATGATATCAATTTTATAAAGAAAGAATGTATATCTTGTCTTGACTTTAAATATAAATATGAATGACTCAATGGATGCGAATTTTTTAATTTTCTATATTGTTGAATAAAAAATTAATTGCTTCCCAGGTAGTAAAGCATGATAATTTTCATTTTCTGTTTAAAAACTTTGTCCAAATTATTTCCTATAAATTTTCGTTTTCACTTATGAATGTGCCATTGTATTTTATTTTTTATTTGGAGGAGAACTGGAGGGGGGGGGGATATAGGAGGATGTTTTATTATTATGATAAATATTACTTGTAAAATATTTTATGCGATGGGGTTCCTCTTCCTAAGTTAATCCCATGGACATACTTTTGATTAAATTGATGCGAAAAAATTTGAGGCGAATATATTTTAATTTAAAAAAAAATTCTTTTATTTAGTATAAACCAATTTTTATCTTTTGCACTGTAGTATATGACGCTACTACATTTTATTAACGCTTTTTAAACTAAAATAACAAAATTAACGAAATTAAAAGTAAATTAAGCTTGAATTATATATTTCTTAATAATATTAGCATAATACTTTTTGTCTTATATAAAATTGGTAATATATAATTTATATAATAATATAATAGTACACTGAAGCGTGTATAAATTAAATTTGAACATAATAAAATCTATATCAAAATTATTAGCGCTTTTAAACGGCTCGATTTAGCCCATTTTTAAAAATGGCTCAAAATAATTCCTTTAGTATCCAACACTCCACAATTTCATCCAAAACATTTTTTAATTATTATAATATTACGAAATGGCTCAATATCTAAAGTAATATTTTTAAATAATCGTGATGTATGAACATTTTATTTAGATAATCTTATGTCGCAAAGACCATCTTTATTAAATCCATCCAATAAAGTATGTCAATTTAAATTGGTATTACTAGGAGAATCGGCAGTGGGAAAGAGTAGCTTGGTGTTAAGATTTGTCAAAGGACAATTTCATGAATATCAGGAAAGCACAATTGGTGCAGCTTTCCTTACTCAAACTATTTGTTTAGATGATACCACTGTTAAATTTGAAATATGGGATACTGCAGGTCAGGAAAGATATCATAGCCTTGCACCTATGTATTACAGAGGTGCTCAAGCTGCAATCATCGTTTATGATATTACAAATTATGATAGTTTTGTTAGGGCTCAAAATTGGGTTAAAGAATTACAACGACAGGCTAGTCCTAATATTGTTATTGCACTAGCAGGTAAAGAAATATATATTATTAATTGTTTATATTAAAAAATGAGATAACTTATAATCAATATATTTTTAGTAGTTATATACTTGTTTTATATAGACATTTTTTAAATAATTTTATTTAATTTGCACTTTACAAATAATTTTTTTAAAATTTTGACTAGTTATCATAGTATCTTATTTTTGAATCATATTCAAATTTAACATCTACCAAAATAAAAATATTTAATAGTTTTTATACAATTTAATTAATCTTAGTGATTAATGATATTTATGTATTTTTGAATATAATTGGGGTTAAAATTTTAGTTATAATAAATGTTTTATTTTTATATTTTTTTAAATATTTTTTCCTATTAATAATAATAATTACATATTTTCAAGATTTTATACAATTGCACATTTTCAAATATACAATCTTAACACAATTATTTAATATTATGTTTGTAAACTTATTTATATCAAATCAATTTTTTTGGGTAACATCGTGCTAATATTGTTTGATATTTATTTTTGAAGAAAATATTTGATTTTAAAAATTTTTTATAAGTATATTTTATTAAATTTTAAAATCTTTCATAAAATTATTAAAATTTACATATCAAATATAAAATAAAATAAAACATTATTTTATAAAAACAGAGGTGGGACTACAAGTTCCCAAAAAACATGAATAGTTATATTTTAAAATAGTTATTTGTAGATTTTGTTTTTTAAAAAAAGTATTCTTTTGGTTCTGATGTAAGGGCTCTTATCTTATCGCCTATATTTTTTAAGAATTTTAAAGTTCCGCTTGGCATATGCCCAAGGGAAGAGATAACGATTAGTGTAAAAATATAATTTGTAAATTTGGAATATTTCATTGTTTATTTTTCTTGGCTATATCAACCGGATTAGAATTTAAATTTTTTGGGAAAGAAGATACGCATGTGAAGTCCCAAATTAAGGATTTCCCTAAAGACCAAGGCACAAAAGTTAAGCCATCTGGTCTTAAGCCATCATCTAATGATAAATTTATAGGCTCCAGGATGTTTGGTCTACGGGCCCTGGTAAGAGAATGGCTAATAACTAAATTAATTGCTGCATGCCTTGCCTGCATTGACTATATATACAATTTAGACCATGTCTTCCTTTGGAGTCAACTAATATTTTACATTTGATGCATGTATGTGGTTGAACAATGTTACATCCAAATCGATGGCTTATGGCAACTCTTAATTGTTCATATGATAAGAGATTATCTAGTTACGACTTGGTAATGCTTCCAACCATTCATATCCACTAGTACAGTCAGCAGTTTTATAAAACCAATCCTACCCATTTTTTAAATTTTCTCATATTTACAAAGTATTGCATATACTAAAATATATTTATTGAAAAAAAAACAAATATTTTATCAAAATTATCATTTTCCATTTATTTATCTTTTATAATTAATTTATAAAAGTAAATTAACCCTCTATTGTGCTGATCTTTAAATACACATACCACAAATTGGTAAAATATTTTAAATAATATTATATATAATATTTATACACATTAGAAATTTCATTATTTTAAAAATTGCCATTTTTGAATTCTCTTATTATTTTTTTATTGAATGCATATTTATCATTGCAACAAAATAACAAAAAATTAATTAAGATTAATAACAAGTTTTTTTTTCATAGTTTAGTATGAGTAGAAAAATATAACTTGACCAACTAATAGTTTTTTGAGAGGCACAATAGAGGGTTAAATTAAAAGAAATGGAAATAAAAATTAATGGCTGCTGTGTCTTTCTCTTTTTTTTATTGGTTTAAAGATTTTATATGATTTTTTGTTATGGATTCATATAAAATAGTTTTCATTTTTTTAAAAAAATTTCAAGGTTAATTAACAATCTTGAGTATTGGCCACTAATATTAGATTGTCAATACTGAACAGTGGTATTGACCCAAACCTATTAAATTGCATCTCTAATTTCTATAAACATTTAACTAGGTTTGTGCCAATATTAAATATTAGATTAGTCTGATATTTAAAAAAAAATTGACATTATTATTTTTTTCTATGATAGTATATACTACTTACTCATTGATATGTGATAATCCTTGATTTCTAGTTTATATTAATTTTCAAATTAAAAAGTATTTATTAATCTTTTTAAAAATTAGAATTTTTATTAATGTTATTATATATGAATTAATTTGTAATTAATGTAAAAATATATTTAGAATTTAATTTTTTATAGATAATAAGGAAAATATAAATATTTTTAAAATTTCCACTTAATGCATATATATTTACTCACCACATTATGACCACCAAAAATGTTTACCCATGAAAATTTATTTACCTTATTTTAAAAAATTAACAATTTACTCTTTTATAACATTATATTATAATTTGTTTATTCTATAACCTTTTTAAAAATTTATACAATTGATAGACATGAGTTTTCATATCAATCTGACTACAAAGATTGTATTCAATAGATATTCTATACATATAAGGCAAAAAAAACTCATTAAAAAATTTGTTTACATCATATTATTTTATAAACAAGAGATGGGTGACACAATCAGTGACAAATTTAAATTTTTTTAGATTTTGGTTATGACAGTACAAAATAGGATTATAGAACATAAGCAGAAAGCTTTCATCCTAATTTTTTTTACAAATCATTAAATTTTCATATAGTATAATGATTGGGATCGCGTGTGAAAAAGGCCAAGATATATTCTGTTTATAAATAATATGATTACTGCTAAATATCAAAATATTACTAATATTCTATCCTTCATTTATTAGGACATGAAAGAAATATACCTTTTATTGATATGGATCTCCTTGTCATACTACAACTTAACCCTTAAAATGGATCATAAAGTAATCTAAGGTTACCATACCAGTAACATTTAAATACAAAAGCTTAGAAATCAGTGACCTTGAGCAAAAGATTCTTTGAATAATATATTAGAGCTTAATTTTAATTCACTGTCAGAAAAAATAGCCTCATTTATAAAGGCAAGCAATAAAAATTTAAAGCTGGGTGAAAATAATATTTTACCATCGAAGGGTGATAATTTTGAATTAGAGTTACATATTTTAATTATATATTGATATTTTATAATAAAGTTTTTGAATTTTTTTATGATTATTTTATAAATTAAAATTTTTAATAAGCTAAAATAAATAATAAGAAAGGTCAAATACTACTGAAGTGGGGCAGCATATATATAATAACATAATATTTTATTTTATGCATAATTTCCTAATAATAATATATGGATAAAAGCAATCAAATCTCAATTTATTTGTAATTTAAAAAAAAAACTAATTATTTTTTTAAAAAAAGAGTATCTAAAAATATGATATTATTTTATTTGCAACAAGAAAAGGATTTAAAAATATTTATCGATTCACATTCAGCCATAAACATATCACATATTTTAAATGAGATGATTCAATTTTTGGGAATAAGATAACACATACTTCTTGACAGTGCACCAAATATCACCTTGGCCATGAAAAATGGAAAATTTAATGTTTTGCCCATAGTTTACAGTTAATTATTGTTTTTTGCTAAGTAAATATTTATTTTGTGGTTCAAAGATAGATGGTAAATAATAATTTAAATACGATAATTTACTCTACAAACAACCTCCAGACTTCTTTTGGGTGTTCTTTGCTAATGTTTGATATAATATAATATAGAATAGAACGGAAAGGAACTAGAGGAGAATAAATATGATGGTTAGTTATCTGAATTTATTTGAATTGTAATATTATAATAGGGATTAATAAAGAATTAGGTTGTTTTTCAAATCTAAGTTTTTATAAATTTATTATATTTAAATTAGAAAGAAACGTATAGATAAAAATATAAAAAATAAATGAACCTTCTTTAAAGCTTTAACTAGGTTGGGGGAGGGGGAAAATTCATGGGCTCCGCCTTACGAAATATTTGCTTTCCCCAGCAAAATATTACAGATTTTGCGTTTTTGGTTATTTTCATTTTAAGACGTAAATTATAATAAAATAATATATATTACCTAAATTATGCTTAATAATTTCGTCATTTACCAATTGTTTATATTTTTGTATGATATATTGATATATTTATTTATTACCTAAATTCATAATCTAATCTGCTTATTTACCATAACGGAATATGCAATTAGCGGTTGAATCCTTTTGTTATATATAATTTCCGATCAAATTAAAAAATAACCACCCCCTCTTTGCCCCTTAAGAAAAAGGTAAAATAAATTATTTTAAAATCTTGTGGCCTCTGAAATTGCGTAAAATTTGACTGCTCAGGGCGATTGCCCACTAAGCATGGTCTTGGTAATTTAAGTTTGACTATCGGAATTATCTTTTTCCAATACCCCGCGATTTTAAATTTTGATAATTATACAAATTTAATGTTATACTTTAACTTTAAAATATTTTTTTTAAAAAAATAAGTTTAATATTCCATTTCCGAAAGAAAATATATACTAATTTTCCAATATCATTATCTTATCTTTAGGCAATAAAACCGACCTCGCCGACAAACGCGTGGTAGACTCCGAGCAAGCCCAGGCTTTCGCCGACGAGAACGGGCTTCTGTTTATGGAGACTTCCGCTAAAACCGCGATTAACGTGAACGAAGTATTTCTGGCAATCGCCAAAAAGCTTCCCAAAGGACCGGATGTGCAAGCCCACGGGGCAGGTCAGAAAAAAAGTGGCCTGGATTTAGCAAACAGTAATCAAAGCGGATCGTCTACCATCGGTTCCGCTACTTCTTGTTGCTCTAAATGATTGTCTTGAACTGTGATAATCCTGGACGGAATTTTTTTTTATAGGACCCGAGAGCCCATATTTATCCAATGATGAGCTTTTTTAAAAACGTTTCTTTTAATCGGCCCACACTAGGAAAATAAAATCTTTGCAATTTTATTTTATTAATAGTTCCAACATGTTCTTACTTTCCCATAAGAATTATACTTCTTTACCACCCTTAATTATTTATGCTAGAAATTGTCGTATTATTTACTCGCTCATGAGATGTGAAAAAAAATTATTTATTTTTCCTCCCTACAGTAAATAGAATATTCTTTTTTAACTTTCCATTTCTTTTTAATTTATATTTTAAGGTTGAAGATCATATATATTTAGGTATATTTTATTTAAATGCTGATTATTTGTTTCTTGCCAATCGATCATCTTTTAAAGATCTAATTTAGTTAAATCTTTTTTAAAATGTATCGGTCGAAATACTTAGGCGATGTATCGATTTTGGTATTTTGATAGATAATAAAAAGAATCAGTTTCCAAACATTTGTTGTTTTTTGCCAACCTCCATTTTACTTCTTCTCAACTTAACTTGTTATATTTTATATTTATATTATAATGGACATGTAATTTATTTCGCACCATTTTAAAAATAATAAAAATATATTTTTATAAATTATTTCGATTATAAAAATCTCTTTTTTAAAAATAATATATCAATAAATAATTGTAATATTATCATTAAAAAATTATTAAACATTTATGAAAATTATTGATGGATCAAATAAATATTAATGTTTATTATTTTTTTGTGTAATAATAAATAAGTATAAAATTATAATAAATGTTAATTTTATTATATTATAAAAATTAATGTCGATTATAGACTAAATATTCGATTCCGATGTTTATTTTTGCCAACCCAACAAGTTACTTAATGACTCACAAAATATTAAACAAATTTTGATTTAATCTGTTTTTGAAGTCAGCTAAAATTGATTTAATTTCAATTGATTTTATAACTCTAGATATAAATAATATTACCCCCCCCCCCACTCCCCATCTAAAGACTAAATTTTAAAATATAAAAATTGAACTCCAAAAATCAAAGACAATAATGTTCAAAATTATGCTACTACAAGATTAAATTGAATCTTTAAAATACACATTTTTTTGTAGCCATATAGGAGATAGAGAAGCAAAAAGTTTTTTTTTAAAATATTTTTTATAAATTTTTATATCGTCGCCGTTTCTCCCTTATTTAAGGCAGAATGAGGTTCACCGTGGTGGTGATATATAGCTCCATTTTTAATAGGTTTTTAGCACCTCTAAAAAAATTACTCTTGCCTCAAAAGTTAGCCATTTTTTTGACTATTAGGATTTAGCCGATTTAACAAAACTACAAGGCAAGAAATATTTCAATTAAAAAAACTTTTTAATGTTTAAATAGGAATTTGGAATTTTCAAATAGGTAGGTTATTAAGATAGATCGATTTACTATGAAAGAATAATAAATTGGATATTATTTTATCGGGTTCTTAGGTGTACTTTTTCCTAATCATTAGGAACATGTTGAGAATTATATGTAGGCAGGGTCTATATGATAGAGATATTGAAATCTACAAAGAAATGGATAGTCATAAGAGCTTTAATTGAAATTGTGGAAAAATTATCATGTCCAGAAAATTCGTATAAAAACATTAGGTCAAGTTGGACTTATAACCCGAAAATTTATACCCACCCATTTTAACAACCTTAAGATATTAATTTAAAAAATCTTATGGTGAGCCGCCATTTATAGCCTTAAAACAATTTCAGTTAAAAATTTTCAGGCCTTATGATTATTTAGGCCAGGAATAATAACGTATCATTATTTATTTTTATCTTTAATCTATTAATAGCGTTTATTTTTACTTTAGATTAACCCCCCCTCCTCGTATGCCTATCATCCTTCAAAAAATTGGTGGCAAATCGCTCCTACCCCTCTTATATAGACGTTATATGAAGCTAAATATTTACAGATGTCGCTCGATTGAAATTCTAATTTTATTAATATACCATTAAAAATCATCATGCAGTCACATCTAATGAACAACTTTGAAAATTATTTATAAATTTTGTAAAATTATTTATTTTACAAATTATTCCCGATATATACCTTATTCCAAATGAAATTTTCCTAAGAAAAGCATGATTTTGCGAAAAGCAAATAAAAGAATGCCATAGATTCAAATTAAATGAATATGATGAGCTTCGACAATATATCGATTATACTAACAATTTTTAAAATTCATTAACTGTGTTGATACTTTATCCTACAACTTAGTGTGAAAAAGGCCTTCATCTTATGATTTTGTTGATCATGGCAGATAAACGAATAATTTAAGGAGTAAATAATTCGTCAAATTAAATGTTCATAAATATGAATGGACCTTCAGTATTGGAATTAGAGGTCTGCATTGGGCTGGGTTTAGGCCGCCCGTCTATCTAAGTGGTAAGGTGGGCGGGCAAAAATTTTTTTAAGAATGGGCGGGCGGGTTAAAAAATTAAAAATCATTTAAGTAAATATTAATAAAAAATTGTTAGTATGAACCTTTTTGAATATTAAAAATTAAAATGTCCTTTTTTGGTATCAAAAGCTTTTTATAAATAACTTTTTTGTATATTTAAAACTACTTTGGTGGAATCGACAAATAGATTTTACCAAAGCTATCAAGATTAGCAAGAAAAATATTAGCAATTCCTGCAACTAGTGCTTCTTCTGAACGAGGATTTAGCATTGCAGGAAGGTTTTTAGAACAAAGAAGAACGTGTTTGAATCCAGAAAATGTCGTTTCATTATTATTATTGCATTATTAATTACATATAATATCAATTTTGTATTTATATTTTCATAAATATTTATTTGATCAAATAAATTATCCATAATTTAAATAGAATATTTTTTTATGCTAAATATAGTAATTTCCTAAAAACTTTTTGTAGAGGTGTAATGCTGAATTTTTTTTTATTAGATGCTTAAAAAATTGAAAGAATGGCCATAATTAAATTTTATAATAGCGGGCTTGGGTTGAAATAATTTTTATAAATAATGGGTGGGCGGGCAGGTATATTTTATTTTGAAAACTATGGGCGGGCAGGTTAAATTTTTTTTAAAACATTATGTGGGCGGGCTTATGGTCCAAAAACCCGCCCAATGCAGACCTCTAATCGGAATGGATTCCAATAATGTATAAAATACAGAAAAAGAATCATCGTAGATGAATGAAATCTTTTAAAAGAAAAATACAGCCTAAAGAAAACGAAGAAATGAAAGATATATGGGAATTTTTTAACTCGATTTTTAAAAACAGCTATCTCAATAATTTATTCAGAAAAATTCTACGCAATCCGGAAGATTTTGCTCATATGGATGGTATAAAGTATCAGTGAAATATTAAGGCTTAAACAATATTAGCTAAAATATTGAGTTAGTCTTTTTTTAAAATGGGCTCAAAGAGCCCCCTTCCCCATCAAGTTTACAAGCAATACAATTTTTTAAAATTATTTGATTGGTTGGTTGACTTTATATTTTATTTTATAGCTTTTTATTATGGGTAAAAATCTCATTTCAGACCTCAATCAATATTTAGCCAATTAATAAGATAATTATTGTATTTACAAAAAGACAGTTCTTGACTATAGACCATATAAAAGACCAGTCTGCTAACATTTTGGCTTAACACAATTAGGACCAAACCTTCACTATGGTTAAAGAAATGTAGAGCTAAATATGATCTTCAAACAAACTCCATGTTGAATGTCAATAACATGATACTCAATTTTAATATTTCAAATTTTAACACGTGTATATAGTGCAGTTGTTAACAGGTCAATGTATAAAAATGATGAATCTGCATCTTATCAAATAAAAAGCAAAAACAAAATAAATTTTATTTTACGTTCATTGTATAAAATTTATTATTTATCAGTATGATTTTATTTATTTTAAATTCAGGACAAGTTTTATTTTACATAACAAATGATAAAAATCTTTATGTTAAAAATTTTAGATGATCAATATTTGTGATACTGAAGAAGTAACAATCCAGCATCAGCAATTTTTCAAAATTGATTTGGTTACAAATGCCAGAAAAAAAGAGAATTGATAGCAAATAGTTGACAAACTTAATTTTCAAAATTTTGAATGGAACCTATATTTGATTCAATTCACAATTAAAGTTTAATAATCAATTTTCAATTTTGGCATTGTACACAACTTACATGATTATAATTTTTTAAAAAAATGTATTTTGAAAAAATTAAATATATTTTTAGGCCATGTATCTGTATCTAGATAAAAAGGGTTGGGCAGAATTGCAAATATTCGTATTTAAAAATAGAAAGTAATACTTTTAGATTTTAATTATATTATAAATACTAAATCCACTATTTATTTATTATGTAATGGTAATCCAGCAAAAACCAATAATAAAGTAAAAGCACAAATAATAATAATAATACCTGTATATTTTCAATATTATTCACTTTTAAAAAATGGTTAATAAAATATTCTTAAGAAAAGAAAATTGTTATTGGTAATATATAAATTTATGTCAAAGTATTTGTTTTTGATACTTAAATTTTTTTGTGTATTTAATATAGATTTTTTTAAATATAATCATGGAGTAAGCCAATTAATATTATTGATAAAATAGGGTATATTTAATCCAAAAACATATTAAAATAATAGTTTTAGAACAGCTATTGAAAAATCCAGCACCATCACAAACAACAGTTGAGACTAAATTAATTAAATTGTTTTATTGTCAATATCAAATCAGAAACATAAGATTTAAAAAATTCTTTTTTAATTTTATGACAATTAATAATTATATAACATTCCATATAGACAATCAAATTAATAAATTTTGATGAAATTATTTTAGTTGAATTCTAATATTTTCTACAAGAAATAAATAAGATAGGCATATATTAAATTAACATCTAATTATGTAATGTAAAAATTATCCAATTCTTTCTTTAGCTATTCTCTGATACTCCTTGATGTTGGATAAGACCCATAATGGATAAAATAATATGCCAACACTCATAAAAAGATAGCACACATACTTTTCCTACAATATATAATCAATTGTTAATATATAGAATATAATCTAACCGCTTGAGGGATTTTATTTTTTGCAGGAAGAGAAATAAAAAGATGTGATATATTTCTCTTATCTTGAAACCTTCGTAAAACTCTAGGAAATAACATGTTTCAATCGTAGACCAACAGCAGAAAATAAATTAAATTGACGTTATAAAATAAGTGACGTTTAGAGAAGTTGGGTAGGTCCATATATCATTGGTAGGTCCTCAAATTAAATCTAATAGATACAGGTAGGGAATCTCTGTAAAAAAATAATCGATACAGATGTGATTTATTAAAAATATCTTTGAGATATGTTTGTATATTTTGCCTAATGAGAGTTTAAAGAGATACTTTGATCATTACCTATTAAATAGAATAATTTAGTATGAAATAAAATTTACAATAAATTGTCCATGACAATAGATAAAAGTTTAATTTATTTAAAATTTATATGCTATTTATAATAGTTTATGATATTTAAAATTATCATTGGAGGTAGATTACTTAATCAAACATTTAATATTAAATTTAATCCTTTTATAGCATTAAATAGGCATGGTTAATTTATTTTATGAAGTTAAAATTTTAATTTATAATAAATAGTATTTATATATATTATTAATGTATTTATTAAATCAAAATGTTATTATTAAAATAAATAATTTTTAAATAATTTATTGAACTTTTGCAGTTTCTGTGTATTTAGCATTGCATCTAGTGTTGTTAAACGGCTCATTTTGAGCCGATTTTAAAAAACGGCTAACTCAATATTTTATTAGGAAAATTATTATGCAAACTTTAAGATTTTGCTCATAAGTGGCACAAAGGTTTGAACATCTATTAACGAAATCTCGAGGTTTAGACAGTATTTTTTTGGCTAATGTTGATTGATTTAAATTTGAATATTATTTATTTTATATTTAAGTTGTTCAATTAACTTTTAAATAATATATATATAATGTTTTTAGATGAAAAATATATAGTAATAAAATAATTAAAATAAGTTCTTACATTTATTATTTACATGGTGCCCCGGGTACGGTGGTACGTTTTTCGTTTTAAATTAAAGTTAAATGATAAAAGTTTAAAAAAAAAATTAAAAAAAATATCCTTACTTTGATTTCTTTTGTAAAAATAAAAACTTGTTAACTTCTTGTTTCTTTTTATGGCGCCCTGTTACTTTTTTGTAAAAAAAAAAAAAAGAATAAAATATAGATAATTTGTCTAAAATTAAAATAAAGTATAAATTAAATTAAATTTGAAATTGATGACTACCTTATTTATTGATTTGACTACTTATTGTGACGATTGCTTTATCCATTAAGATGGCTCTATTTATATGACTACCTATTGTGATGACTATCTAACCTATGGAGATTGCTTAACCTATGGAGATGACTACCTTATTTATTGATTTGACTACCTATTGTGACGATTGCTTTATCCATTGAGATGACTCTATTTATATGACTACCTATTGTGACGATTGCTTAATCCATTGAGATGACTCTATTTATATGACTACCTATTGTGATGACTGTCTAACCTATGGAGATTGCTTAACCTATGGAGATGACTACCTATTATGACTCTACCTTGTGCTTAACCTATGGAGATGACTACCTATTATGACTACCTTATCTATTGTGACTACCTAATCTACTGAGATGACTATCTAACCTATGGAGACTGCTTAACCTATGGAGATGACTACCTATTATGACTACCTTATCTATTGTGACTACCTAATCCTACTGAGATGACCAAGAATCAAACCTTAGTACGTTCTTTCATGCAAAAAGCTTCTTTCTTTATGGTGTCCCGGCTCTGGATGTTGGACTGGAATATGATAGCCAGCACCTAACCTAAGGTGGCAACCTAGAAAGAACCAATATGAAAGTTGGACGTTAGGTTATGAATTCCATTTTGTGAGACCAATGATGATTACTTATTATTCTAATCCACGTAAGAAGAAAAGTTATTAAAAATTAAAATTTTATGCCAGGATAAAGGCATGTTATAAATTTTTAAAATTACTAAAATGTAAAATCATAATGGATAATATTGATATTTTTTGATTTCTTGAATGATGACGAATTGTTGTTAATTAACAAAACCTAAAGATGAATTCTTAGATATAATTAAAAATAAACCATTAAAAATCCTAAACAAGAAGATAAAACTTAATTTTAAATATGTTAAAATGTAATTAAAACATATGAATTAAAAGGGATTGATTTAAATAACCCTTATAAGTAATACTTAATATAAAAAAAATGTTTTTGAAATAAAGCTTTTGAAGACAAAAGGGTTATGTAAAAATTAAAACATCATTATTTTAGAAAAATATTGTGTGAAATTTAAATTTTTTTTAAGAGAGGGAAAGGTGCATTATTTGCATATTTTAACCTCGGAGATTGAAAATAAATAAAAATAAATTAAATATTAAAACGCTAGTAATTAAATATTGAAACGCTAAAAAATGTAAAACGTAAAAAAATGTAAAACGCAAAAAATATAAAACGCTAAAAATATAAAACGCATAAAACGCTAAAAGTATAAAACGCTATGATTAACTTAACACCTAAAAAATAATATAATAATCATCATGATTTATCATTCCTTATTTTGGATTTTATTCCTTATTCCTTAAATTATCATTCCTTATTACATATTTTATTGTTCCTAAATTCAAAATTTTATTCGTGCATATTCATATATTTGATTTGATCAACTATTCCAAATTATATATTCCGATTTATTCCAAATTCCAATATTCAACTGGATTAATGATAATAACAATTTTGAGAAATGTGAACAACATACGATAAGGATATCAAACCAACGATAACGTTCAACGATTTTTATCAAACCTACGCGATTGATTCAAGCCTACAAAAAAACGTACAAACTCACGCAACTCTAATAAACGATTTTATCAAACCTACGTGATAGAATCAAGCCTACGAAAACATTTGAGACTTATGCGCTAACCAAGATTAAACCGAGTACAATCGAAACAAGAAAAACTTCTAGGACAACAAGCTCTCGATGACTGCTGAGAAGAAGCTTCGTTGTTTGTAGAAGAGGGGGAATGTTGATTGATTTAAATTTGAATATTATTTATTTTATATTTAAGTTGTTCAATTAACTTTTAAATAATATATATATAATGTTTTTAGATGAAAAATGAACTTATTTTAACTATTTTATTACTATATATTTTTCATCTAAAAACATTATATATTAGCCGTTTTTAATTATCGGCTCAAATCGAGCCGTTTAACAACACTAATTGCATCAAATCTGAATAACTTTTCAACTGAAGCCAATGTATTACAGAATTATAAAAAAAGTTTAAATGGAAGGATAATTAGTGTTGTATATTTCTAATACCATAATGATAATTCAAAACCTCCAATTTAATGTTATTGGCTTATTAAGCTCAGGAATATTTGTTTCACTAGAAGAAAAATTAAATTTATTGGTTGTTTATGTTAAATCGGTGTTGTAGTTGTTTGTATAACTACATTAGAGCTATTTTAAATGAATAGAATTCTACCGTATGGATGATTGGAAATGGTGTTTCAATATTAATTTTGCTGGAAATAAAATTTCCTGTTTTTAAAATCGTTAGTTTAAAGAAGATTTAAAACTTTCAAATTTAAATTATTTGAGATTGTAATTTATGATTTTTGTCCAGGTGCACTATTTATGATAAGATTAAAATTGTATGCTGCTTACAGTATAAATTCGACATTGGGTTCAATGTACATGATCTTGATGTAAGCTCTATAACATATTTCACTTATATTTGACATCGGCCCTCAACACATTTTGCTATCAATATTGTCCAGTTGAAAATATGAGTGATTCCAATTTCACAAGAGAAATTATTTTGAAAGCAACACTGAGATTTACCTTCTTCCCCACATTTTTAACCTTACCTGTAGAAGCAAAGGACCCATCTCTCTCATTCACGTAGACACGAATGTGATTAACTCTCAATCTCTCAGTATTCACTATTTCCAAGATTCTGTGACACATCATTTCTTCATATTGAAATATAATGAATATTCCTTTTTTTCGTTCTCTCTCCTAGGTGATATTGGTTATCTAACATAATTGCATAGAATAAGGATTCTCGATTTGAAATTGAAATAAGTTCTGCCTTAATTTATATTCATCATTACCGTTTGTTTTTGAAAGAGATCGCAAATATTAGTTAAATCTTTAAAATTAAACTTTCATTTTTTCGTTGCATATAAAAAATCAAAATACACTATTTCTCGAAAAGTTATATTAGATACACAAAATATCTCATTCTATTTTTAAATGATATACCTATAAATATGAAAAATTTATTAACTGTTTTCATAATATTTTAGGAATTCTATCTTCAGAAAAATAACCATTATGGGGATTGAATGATAAAAAAAAATCCATTAAGGCTAAGGGAATATCTTTCATATATAAGACTAATGAATAATTGTATTACTGTTTTAAGCCAAATATTTTTAAAACCCGGATGAAATGAATATATCGGACTCTATATAATTTATACCAATAATAGAAAATGGGGTCACTAATTACCTATAAATTATTTTAATTAGATAGATAACTAGTAATTATATAGAAATGATAATTTTTAGATTTAGTGTATCGCTCTATATTATACATAATATTTATAATTTTAAGTCAAAAATGGTGAAATTAAACGGTAAAATTGATATCATTTTATTTATAAAATACCATATAAAAAAATGTTCACATATTAATATTATACATACGAGATTGAATTTAAATGCAAATTGGTACGCAAATTATATATAAAAAAAATTTTTTTATATCAAAATAAATTAGAAGTCTAAAAAAAATTTAGTTATAAAAAAGATTGCATTTTTATATAATATATTATATATAAAAGGCCAAAAATATTTTGATAGGCCACCACAAACTCTCTCGGACTTGCCAGATATAAATGGAATATTCTCTCACTGCGCTCATTCAGAGATTAAATTACGAAAATTATTTTATTATGATGTTAATATGTTTTTAAGGCTGTCCAAAGTTGCTAACTTTTAGCAAACAACAATATGTTTAGATATGACTGTTCAGCCAATTGTTGGACATATGGTAAAAAATATATATTGTTTTTTT